TTCTTGTTTGCTTGTAATGGCATGGTGATTTAACTCCAGCACTCTTTGGACCTAGATTTGATTAAATCTGACTCTGACTGTTTTTTCATGTGATAGACTAATTGAAAAAATGCCCCAAGTCTTCACCTCTCCTTTATTCATCACTTTTTCCGTGAAACTTCATAATGCTCCTTCAGTCCTTCTCTGGGGATGGCCACATGACTTGTTTTGGCCAATGGAATGTGAACAATCATGATGTACATAAAAGCTTGAAAAATATTGGTATGAGCAGGCTTGCCCTGAACTTTGTGCCTCTGCCATTGTAATGAGAGAATGTTTGTGCTAGCTCGCCAGAGGCTGTTATATGTCATCTCAGTTGTTTCAGCCAAAAGCATCCTAAATGAAGCTTAATCAACTATCCTTAAACATGTATATGAACCAAGCCCGGATCAGTAGACATGTAGATGACAACCCTAGATACATGAACCATAAAGTTATTATTGTACATGGATGAGGGTTTTTTGATTGATATTCACTATTATTGTGACAATAGGTATCTGATAGAAGCATTCTCATAATTTCCTTTGGGGGTCCCCTAATTACGGGAATTTATCTCACATGCTTTTTCATCAATGAGGAAAATCATAGGCATATCTAGGCCCCTGAGTTTCCCTTTTATTCTCCAGCCCCTAGACATCTGGAAAACCTTCCAGATTATTTATTCTATGACCTAACTAACATTTCCAGGGACTTCATTGATCAAAATCCAAAAAAAACATATTCTTACTTTCTCTTGTTTATAGTTCACATCTGGGCCACAGGACATAGTCAAACAATTTTTACCCAATTAAGCACTTGGAATAAAACCTAATTGCTACACAGACAGCTCTTTCCTGCTGCTGGTATGAGTTAAATACCAGTTTCCAGTGTCCATGAAATTTATAGGGACACATAGTAAGCTAATTGTGGCATCTCATTAAAGCACCTCTCTTGACTTAGGATTTGGAAGCAATACCATACCCTACTCCTTTGGGAGGGAAGGAATTCACAACACTATTCCTTCCAAATTAACCTGCTAAGATTTTACCAGATAAATTCTATGAAGCTACTATGATTCTATTTGAGGTTAGAAAGTATTCCATCCTGTTCTTCCCTCTTTGGGGATACGGTGGTCTCTAAGGCACAGTTATCGCTGAAGAAAATGCTCTTCAAAAAAAAAAAGAAGAAAAGAAAAGAAGGAAGAAAATGTTCCTCCCAATCCTTCTCTAACAAAACCCACCATTACATATTAATTATAAGGTTAAGAAGACTAAAATTCCTCGGATGCTTCTCTGTTACTTTTAATAGGCTCACATCTCGGTCTAATAGATGATTTTGTAATGTGTTTTTTTTTTAAAAATATATATATTTTATTGATTTTTTACAGAGAGGAAGGGAGAGAGATAGAGAGTTAGAAACATCGATGAGAGAGAAACATCGATCAGCTGCCTCTTGCACATCTCCTACTGGGGATGTGCCCGCAACCCAGGTACATGCCCTTGACCGGAATCGAACCTGGGACCTTTCAGTCCGCAGGCCGACGCTCTATCCACTGAGCCAAACTGGTTTCGGCATGTAGTGTGTTTTAATTGACACTTCCATTTTGAAATATTATTATACTATTGAATGCACACAATATTTAAGGCTCTAGAAGATAAGTACAAATCCTGCTTATTTTGCAGCAATCATTGGATCAATAAAAGTAATCTTCACCCTGACCATTGCCACTGAAGCCCTCCTTACTAACTGCTCCTCCTTATCACAGATGTCCTGGAGGCAAAAATTTGCTTACATTATGTAAATTTCTTCCTTTTCAACATCTAACCCCAAACTAAGCACACACACACACCTTAAACAACATTTCCACATATATACCCACACTCCCTACACAGCATGTATACACATACACACACATATTCATGTCTAAGGAATAGAAACTAAAAAGAAGTTTTAAGAGATAGGTTTTAATGTACAGCATTTCTTCTGCACATATTGTCTGGTATACACACACACACACACACACACACACACATATATTATTGATTTCAGAGAGGAAGGAAGACGAAGAGAGAGATAGAAACATCAATGATGAGAGAGAATCACTGATTGGCTGCCTCCTGCACATCCCACACTGGGGATTGAGCCCCCAACCCCGGCATGTGCCCTGACCTGGAATCGAACCATAACATCCTGGTTCATGAGCTGACGCTCAACCACTAAACTATGCTGGCTGGGCTTGTCTGGTTTCTTTTAGCCTATTTGGTTGTTCACTACTCAACTGCTTGATTTTTATGGTACACATACAGCCTGGACCAATCTCACAAAAGCCTGAAATTAAACCTGCAATTTGGACGAGACTGCGGGTAGAGACATATCCTCTATTCCAGCGACAGAGAAAGCATCCACTTAAGGGAAAAGCACAATTTTCAATACGTAAAAAAAACATGTGCAGTTGGCATCAGGAACCCAAGATAAAAAGAAATAAACAAAATAAAAGCCAGGAAATTCCAATAAATAAGCATAGCACAATGGTGTGTAATTAAAAGCAAAGTAATACTCAGGGACCATGAGCAGGCAGGTGTTCAGCGTTATGGAAGTCTAGCAGCCAGGATAGAGTCCTCCTAATTAGGTTGGTTAGTGGAGTAGATAAATAAATCGCCAGAATCAAATGAAGCCCCAATCTTGCAAAGATCAGAATATTTTATAGCTTATTAAAGAGGATGGCAATGAATTAATAAGCTACTATTTATTGAGTGCTTATTATATTTGAGCCCTGAACTTAATAATTTAAATTCATTTAATGCTTGAAATGGGGTTATTTCATTCTTTACAGAAAGTAGGAAAATAAAGTTTGTTTAAATTTAAGTTACAGTTACATAATAAGGAGATACTAGATTCTCACTCCTCTTCCATAGTGAAGAGCTGATAATTGAGAAATGACTGCCTTGCTAGAGGCTACATTTTCCAGCATCCTCTGTATCTACCGAAGTGGCATGCAAGTGAAAGTGATCTGTTTATTTTCTTTCTTTATTTTTCACTTTCTGACTATAAGCAAATATCTCTGAGGCTCTAATCTATAATGGAGCCACCAGGTGAAAGATATCTGGCCTTGTGCATCACCAGGTTGAGAGCCATCTTTGAATATTCATATTTAACCATT